CTTGATGTCGATCAACAGCTCAGAGGTACCGACAGTCACATATCCAATTACTCCTTATGAAGGTCAGGATAAGTGGGGGGGTCAACGTCAGATGTGATATTTTGTTAAGACTGTAATTACTAATGTGTCGTCAGAAGCTTAACTACCATGATGAGGATGTGACCTATTGATTGCTGTATAGGAGAGGGCAGAGGTCCAGGTGCATGCACGCTATGTCATCATGCTACAAGAGTACACCAAGGACATACTGCACATGTCACGAACAGAGTGTGCGCCATGACGGATAAATGTGTTTACTTTTTTATTGTTTGGATTGTTTGTGATGAGTCATCCAGTGAGGCTGAGGAAGAAGGACCACCACAGGAAGGCACCTTTCCACAATGTACCACTGTGATGGGGAATGTATGTTTAGCACACATCCCAGCCAAGTTACATTTAACTCAGATTTCATGTGGAAAAGCTCTGGAAAGATTTGACGAAAAACCACTAATGAGCCCAACTCATATTGTGGTAATTTCATTACAGCTCCCGCTGAAAGCAATTACGGGTCTAGTTGTTGCACCTTCACGCCGTCTCTCTAAGATCTCTGTCTGAGCTGCCGCCAGCATGACAGTTATTTCCTGTTCCTGTCCTAACAGTTTCCAAAAACAGCTGGGAGGAACTACTTTGAACTGATGACCCAACATGGTTGACAACCAAAGACAGAAACCAAAATTGTGACAGTCATCTAAACAAACACCCCCACCACCCTGGAGGATAATGCTGAGTGACTTCAACTGGAAACCTGAGGTCACACCGAGGCTGTGTTGTGCTATGCAAGTGTGAAAATATTATGTTGTTAATATCAGTGTGTTCTAAGAGCTAAAACACAACTGAGGTGTTACCTCTAGAGGACGTCTCCACGCAGATGGCATGTAGATTGGAATAGTAAATAGGAGGACAGGTTGGAGTAAACAGTGAAACAGCTGACAACATGGTAACAATATTCCTCTCAGCCCTGAACTGAATCCTTGTCCACCCACACTGGTTCACAAAGAAAGGGCCATGTATGAAACCTTTTTGCTTGAAGAGATGACAAAAATAGACATGAGACACCTGTGAAAAACTTGCCTCGCTACAGAAATGCCTAGAGTCAGGAGTATTAAGAAAATAACATGATTATTTACAATGGGTCGAGTTTTTGTAGCCTTGGACTTTACACAAGCAACTGTTTTTTGTTTTGTTTTTTTAAACAGATGTTCAGTTTTATGTCATCATTTTAGTCCAGTTATGCAGTTTGAGTAAAGACAGCAGAGTATAAACTGTTTCTCCAGCTGCTCCCAGGTCTTCAAACAGCTTCATCCTTTGATTGTACTGTAATATATAATGTTTTCTTCTTATTAAAATATTTATTATTTTCTATTTTCTATACCGATTTATAAAAATCGGTATAGAAAAAGAATTATTCAGGAACCGGTACTGAAGTCAAGGTATCGGTACTGGTATCAAAAACTTTAACGATACCCAGCCCTACCCAGACTACCTTAGAAAACAATACGTTCTAGGAGTTGTTGAGTTAGAGAAAACTTTCTAAACTTTGTTAAACGCTGTCTACAACAAATCCTTAATTATTTGTCCCCTGTTTATTCTGCAAATGTAAGTTATTCCCTTCTTTGTATAAAAAGCACTGTGGCAGTTTGTCGCAGTACCGGCGTGTAGGCTACTCTGTGCCAGTATAAATGATATGCCTTGGCAACAGCAAATCAGTTGCATACAGTTATTTCTCACTGTACATCATTCATCTCCCGTCTGTACGCTCTGCTGAATAACGCATCTGTGGTGCTTTCATGGCACAAAATAGACGTATTATCACTAATTAGAGGCAAGTTTCTTTCAGCCTTTTCACTCGCTCGCTAGATTTGAACAACAACCTATATTTCATGTTAGCTAAAAAGAATATCTGTAATGTTATGTTGTGTACGTATGCAAGCACACTGTACGAATTGCATTTAAACCTACCTAGGATCCACACACAATTCGAGCCAGACTACCTCCAGATGTGGTCAGGCAGACCGACCGCAATGCATTTACACCTTACATTATCATGCATTACTCCTGAACTGAATAACGTGTCCAGATACAAATTGCATTTTAATACCGGCCGTAAATGGAGTAAGAATGTAACATAATGTCAATTGTGTCTGTGAGGCTTGATCTTAACGTTATGATTGACATCTCTGTCCAGAAAACAATGCAAATTTCACCAAAACTCTACAAGAATCATACCTCTCCTCTTTATGGAGCTGATTAATGTCAGCTCGCTTCAGCAAGTAAGAGTTAAAATGTGTAACCCAAATCAAAGCTATGGTGCATCACTTCATAAATGTTCTCATCCAGAATGAAAGACTCAGATTAACAGCGCTCCAATTCCATTTTAATGAGCATATGTAGACACAAACAATCAGGCTGTGGATATGTGCGCTCTCAGTGTATCCATAATAACGAAACAGCTCATATCACCAGAGGAGAGAGCACTAAACAAAGTCAGAGGCACAAAGTGCTAATGCTTTGGTTTTATTATCCTTGCCTCTGTTCATTCCATTCAAATGAAAAGGTAAACTGCTACGTTAAGATGTTTGACTGATTAAATTTTAATGAAAGACTTTTAATTACGCCCCAGCATTGTACGTGTTGTTGGAGATGACTTGAGGGAACCCAGGAGGAAAACCAATATTAAAAAACCCACAGATAAAGCCACAACAGCACATAGCAATCTCTGACACATACACAGATTTCCTCATCCACTTTATGTTACGTTCAGCAGTTTAGCAAGAGCAAAATGCTTTGTTTTGTATTCAGCAAAAATGTGAATAGGCTTTTGGAGTCTTTGAATTTCAAGATGGCAGCCTATTATAGTCATTTTGAGCGTATCCGTGTCATGGACTGTGCTGACACAGCTCCCTGAAGATGGAGAGCTGGCTTTGTTTAATCATTCTTTCGCCCACAGTATGATGATCACACACACTGCGAGGAGACAGGTGGATAGATGCAACGTTGTGACAGCACTCAGTCCCCATCACATTGTGATACCTTAACCTCCCCCTATACCTCACTCTGCCACAACAGAAACTTCCCGCTGTAAACACATTCCTTTAATCTTTTTGTGGACATCTCATCCTGACAGACAAATACCTGAAATAAACCTTCTGGGGCTATGTGAAGCTAGGACTATCAAAGCGCAGGCTAAGGAGCAATCAATATCTTACCAATGCAGTGGCGAGTCCTCTTGTCAATGTAAATCAGGACTTGAGAGGTGATTGTCAGTCTAATCTCACCATATGGCTCCTACACTGTGGATTCTGCTGCCATCAATACAGAACCCTCTCACATATCTATGGGCTTAGCTACAGATAACAACTCAGTGTGTGTGTGTGTGTGTGTCTGTAGTATATAGGGAGAGAGTATTTCAATATATAAGGTCAAATGTAAACCTCTGATATTCGTAAGGATCAGTGGCAGAACATTAAAGAACAGAGGCACCGTATACATATTTGTAAAAACAAAAAATATTTTTAGCACAGAAGCCTCAGTTTGGGACGCAAACAGGAAGGAGTTCTCTTTAGTTATGGCAAGAGACTGCAGGCGGTTCGCTTTTATCTTTTTAACTCTCACACAGAAAATACCTAGATTTCACATCAACTTTTAAGTCCTCAGAGTGCAGTAGGTTTAGAGACAGATTTCAATAACACATATGCTGTTTGCAACGATACCACTCGAAATGTTTAGTTACAGCAATGTAAAAACAAAATGTAGTATAAAATGCTTGGTGGC